TTCTATTTTCCTTAAGACTTCCCCGTTACTCACATATTTAGTCCTTGGTATTCTCAGCATCCTCCTGTAGTACACAATTTCTGTTGCTTCATGTCTCTTGATATAAGAGGACCAATATTACATAAAAATTCAATACTTATCTTTGTACCTAAATTATGTCACCGTTTTCTTTCTTGTTAGCGATCTAGATATGCATACCATTAATACCGTAGTTAAATAAATCCTCCATGGGTGATCCACATTTGCGGCCTTGTACCAGACTAAGCTAAGCTTACGAAATAATATATCCCCTTGAATATTTGTTAAGAATCTAGCTCAGAACCATTAACACTTGAGTTAAATTAATCTTCTACATTGCTCCATACCTTTGTCCTTGTGCCAGACTAAACTAAGCTTATTAAATTTTTCGCCTCACTGTTAAACATCTAGTAATCTACAGCTAGCAATCTGGCACTGTAGACTATTATTAATACAGTAGATTGTCCGTCGCTTATCGTGCTCCATATTTGTGGCCTTATGCCAGACTAATATGATCTTTGTATATAGTTAACCTTATTAATTAGTAGATCAGGACTGGATACTATTTATAATTTATATAGACCGATCTTAATAGATTGTTCCCACACATATTGCCTTATACCAGGTAAGCACTTTGTATATATCTAGCCCACTAGTAAAAACTACAGACTTGATTAAATATCATTATTATTTTAACTAGACCAATCGTTATAGTGCCCTCTACACGATGGGGTATCATGCCGGAGTGGACATTACACTCAAATTTCACACAAGACCATCAAGGGAAGCCAGGTGCAAGATTGACCTGGTATTACTCCTAGCCACCTAATGCATGACCTCACATCAGCGTCTGGTATTGCATGCGCGAAAACGAGAATGGTGGATAAATGATCAACTGCTCCAAATATGGCTTGGGCAGTCTCTCACACATCACAGAGAGAATGTAACGTCCATGTATCGAACCAGGGTTTTGAGCCGCTTCACTCACCCACACTGGCCAGTTTCCTTTAATTCACCTTCTACCCGGTATGGTGCTTATTTGGCACCGCGAACTTATTATGGAACAGTGGGTATTAGTGAGTTACTCTTGTATACCTAGTAAAAGTTCCGGTAGAGGATCATGTTGGGCCGAATAGTGAATCAAAATAATTACTTTCTTCTTCTTGAGACCGGATCGTAAATCTAGCAGTACTTGATTGAGCTCGAATTTGAACATTTAAATGAAAAAGAATTATTCAAAAATGGATGGGATAAATAGTAGATTAAGAAGACTGTTTTTTCAAGTGATGATTAGTGAATTTGGTGACATAGTACTTGTGAGCTCAACCCCGGGACCGGGCAATGTGTACTTGGACTCAGCGGAAACAGGACAAGCAATAAGTGAGCAGTGCTAAAAATAAGAACTAGACGAGATATCCCTAGATATGCACAGTGGAACGAAAAAAAATTACCCAACGTAGATTAAATAAAGGGTACAGTTCCGAATTACCTGATGAAGGCCGGAGGGTACAACGGTCGAAACGTTGTAAAAACAACAGCAAAGATGAGGAGAATAGTCCGCATGTTAAATAGAGTAAATCATGATAACTACTCTACCCAGAAATTCAGGCAGAAACACTATTTTCTGTCTAATCTGACGCTTGTAAAGTTAAAGCATAGTAGAAAGAGTCAAGTACTTGCCGGAGTGATTGAATGTGCCGGTTATTCTTCTTTAACAATTGATCTTATATATCATAGTGTCTTTCGGCCGTCATCAGATGTTTGTCGATCCGGGTAACCTATAAGGAATTTCGGACTGCACCCTTTATTTAACCTACAGGATAGATTGTTCTCGTTCCACTGCCCATGAATATCTAGTCTAGTTCTTATTTTAGTACTGCTCAGTTATTGTAGACCCCGTTTCTATAGAGTCCATGTACACACAGTCCGGCCCACGGATTGAAATACTAAGTCCTATGTCACCAAATTCACAAAACAACACTTGAAAAAACAATCTTTTTAAACAGCGTTTTAATCCACGGGATTTCCCTGCAGGTTACCCGGATCGACATAAACCTGATGAAATTCGGATGGCAAAATGGCCGAAGCGTTATGATAAAAACCACAACAACGATGGGGACAATAGTCCACATGTAAATAATATAAATAATGATAACTAAAACAAATAAAAATGGAGTGCTGCTGCCATATCTGGGTTGACAGAGTTCCCGCGGTCATGTGGGGAAAGATATTAATTAAATTGCAAAGTTCACATGAGCGCCATTCTTTAGCGCCACCATTCCAGACGCTTTACATCTAGGACAAGCCATGATACTTCCACAGAGACGAATCACTCACATTTCCCCCGTATTCCAAATGAATGGAGAAAGTCCATTCGGGCAGCTTTCTTCCCCGAAAAAAAAAATCTGCTATTCTGTGGCAGAGACTCCTATGTGGATGCTTCCCTGGACACCACCATCTTAACCTCTTCAGGTCAAGGGTCAGTCGTTATCAACCGTCCTTATCTTCATAATCTTTACTTTCTACCACCTCTTTCCTTTCTATCCCATGCCTCATTCCTCGTAACCATTTTAGCGGTAACCCTTTACCTTGAGAGGCTCTTACACCTTGTATTAGGTGAACTCTAGTATAAAAATGAATACAATCAGATGTGTCTTTGCAGATTTTCTTTAATTTCTTATGTCTTTTCTTCATCTTGACTTGACCTTATAGAACAATTGATTCGTTCGGACTACTTTTTCTCATTAATAGAGGTTCCAAATCTTTTAAGTAACGGATTTCGATTTCCTTTATTGTTAAGACGAGTTATTTTTATTATACAATGAACCTTTTGGAATTCATTGTATGTTATTCATTTCATTTTAGCAGTAACCCTTTAGCTTGATTGAACCTTGAACCTTTATATTAAGTAATCTCTAAATAAAAATTAATACAATCAGATGTGTCTGTACAGATTTTTTTTTCTTTTGTCCTCTCTTCATCTTGGCTTAACCTTATAGGACAATTTATCCGTTTAGACTTCTTTTCTCACAAATATAGGTTTTCAAATCATTTAAACCACGGATTACGGTGTCCTTTATTATTAAGACAAGGTATTTTTTTATTATACACTAATTCTTTTTAATCATTTTCCTATGGATATCTCGTCTTTTTTAGTACTGGTCACTTATTACTAGTTCTGTCTTTTCTGAATATCGAACTCACAATTACTATATCACAAAATTCCTGAACCAGCGCTTTAATCCACTAACTTGAAAAAAAGGCCGGAAATCGCAACGTTCGAAACGCTGTGATAATGGCAAAACAAATTAAGACATTTTTTTTAATAATTTCACCCTAAAGCAAGGCGAGAATGCCACTAAGACGCAAGGAGTCATCTAGAAGTTAAAGAAAATGAGAAAACTTCAGAAGGGACCGGAAACCCAATCCTCAGCAGAAAAGAAGAGATAAACCGCTACTTTTGTTCAAAAGACGGAGAAAGAGTGTGAACCGGGCAATAGGCGAACATATCTACTCCTATTGAAGAAAAAAAAACATAGTAAATAAAATTTCAGAGTTGAAACGGAGATGTTAGCATCGATTTGAAGTAGACCCCAGAAGATACCGGAAACCCATTCATAAACAGCAAACAGGGAATAAATCTCTACCCCTGTTCAAAGGACGGGGAAAGAGTGCGAATCGGAAAATAGGCGAACCTATCTACTCCTGTTTGACCGAATCTAAATATGCTAAATACGGTTAACTCCTCATCCCAGAAATTCAGACGAAAAGGCTATAGGGCCTAAAATAGCAATTGAATAATATCCATATATCATCTGAAATTTTCAAACCAAATTAGGGAAGCTCTGAATGTAGTTGGAGTATTCTAATAAAAACAACAAAGATTTTATAGGTAGGCGTGACACAATTGTCCTCTCTCTCTCTCTCTCTCTCTCTCTCTCTCTCTCTCTCTCTCTCTCTCTCTCTAGCCTTATCCTGATCTATGTGTATCTCATCTTAGACTGTCAGATAGCAGGATAGAAAGCAGATCGTCCGGAATGTTATAATTGAAACTAGGGACCTGAGAATACGAATGTTTTTTTAATTATGTCTTTTCTATACTTCCATACATTTCTATCAAAACCTTTCCGAATAGCCTCACCAGCACCGCGGCGTTGTTTGTATTTGCTACCCGTATCAATTGCGAATAATTTTAATGCCCCGATTTTTAAAAAATATTTGTTGGCTTTCGGGTGTTTCTTTCAAAGAAACGGACTTATGGTAATGGTGTCCAATTGTGCGGAAGCCACTTAAGCCGGCAATGGAGGACATTTGCCGATTCTCCATCACCAAATATGGAAAAAGAAAGAAAGAAAGAAAGAAAGAAAGAAAATAAGAAAATTACAATTCAATACACAAGAGCTGGTGGTTTTAAAAAGCCAAAAAAAAATGAAAAAAAGAAATTATATGCACGGTCGGCGTCTATTTTACCAGCTGCGCTTTGCATTTCGTCTCTGTTGACGAGTGACACCTTGATGGTCCTCTTATTTGGCAAAGTCTGGGTTGGTCCTGGTCAGAGACACATCTAAAAGAGTCGAGACGACAACAAGGCGGAAATCCAACCACACTATTATGAACAGTATTGAATCTAATATTCTTAGTGACAAATCTTATTGTTAAAGTTTTTTTTTTTTTTTCATTGGTAAATTTCATTTGTTCCGAAAAGCAAAGGAAGTGTTTTGTTTTTTTTATTTTTTTATTTTACAAATGACTCTTAACTTTTCACGCAAACAGTTCCATTTCAATTTCAAATCCTTATTAAAATAAATAAATAAAATCTTTAATGTTGTCTCTGTCGCCCGGAAATAAGACAGGACATTAATCTGGGGTGAAGAGAAGAAAGAATAAAAAATAGTGACGAATTGTATTTTAGCTGAGTTTGAACCGAATTAGACAATACTTAAATTGACTGGTCCGCTCGTTAAAAAAAATATTATCTCACCTTACGGCCATATAACTTTGAATCACCGATTTTCGTCCGATCACCGAAGTTAAGCAACATTGAGCTTGGCCAGTAACTAGATGGGTGACCGCTTGAAAAAAAGAATCAGATGCTGTAAGCTTGGATGTGCGGATGGTATCATGGATAAAGGCTCAGAATTATTTACATTATTCGGACTATTGTCCTCATCTTTGTCACGATATTTATCACAACGTTTCGGCCGTTGTACGCTCCGGCCTTCTTCAGGTGGTTGGAATATCGAACTGAACCATTTATTTCGTGCCATGTTTGATGGATATCAGTTAACTCCTGTTAATTTCCCTCTTGAAATTTCTCCACTGCCTTAACCGGGTATTGAACTCACACTCTTTGGGTAACTAACCAACACCTTTATCCACTATGTCATGTGTCCTTGGGGGTATGAATTTCTGGGTATTATAAACCTAATATCTTCAGCAACCATTTTTACCAGTGCTCATATTGCAATTTTGCTGTTATCATTTCATGTTTTTACCAGAGCTCATATTGCAACTTTGTTGTTGCCATTGCTTTTCTCTGATACTCCTTATTACTGGTCCTCATATTGTATTTATTTCTATGCTTGGTTGGCTCAGGAGATTTTTGTGGCCTAGCATATGTGCTGATTCCTTAAATTTACGAATTTTCCAATGGTGTTCTTTGTCTATGATCTCAACCTTATTCCACAGAGGGCGGTGATCTCCCTTCTCTCTCCATATGTGGTCAGCCACGCCTGATTTTTCTACTTCCCCTCGTGTTACAGCTTTCTGGTGTTCTTGAAGCCTTACCTTGAGGGGGTGGCCTGTCTACCCTTTATATTCCTTTCTGCAGCTGCATGGGACAACGTACACACAGTCTTTAGTCATGTTCTCCTCTATGGGAGGGGGTCTTACTCGGGAGAGATATCTGCGAAGGGTCGTCAAGCTTTTGAAGGTTGTCCTGATGTTATATTCGTAAACTTAAGGAATCAGCACATATAGTTCGACACTCCAACCACCTGAAGAAGGCCGGAGCGTACAATGGCCGAAACGTTGTGATAAATATGGCGACAAAGATGAGGACAATAGTCCGAATAATGTAAATAATGTACATAATATCTCATCTCAGAAATATAGACAGACTCTGAAGGCTCAGAATTGTTAATCGGGGAGTTTTAATACTAGTCGGGTTCGTTACGTTTGCTTACGAGCAAATACACTTCGTAAATTTATGAATTCAGGCCTTCTCCTCCCCACCCCAGCTATGTTTAAATAGAAGGACTGACTGAGCCTTATAATCTTGGTTGGCAACCAATCTAGGAGAAGGAAAACTGTGAATTCAAACCAGTCTCGAGAGGCTTGGGTTCCGTCAGGCTTTGTTCAAGACACACGGTTACAGTACATACGGTGTCCCTACGGCCCTCGGGGTTTACGAAACTCGTGGTCGTAAGATGCCATTGATATACCAGATGATATCGAAGGGGTATTTACACTCAAAACATTATTATTCATAAAGAAAACGTTCATCCTGAAGGCGAAAACTTCTTCACTAGGGTTATAACTTTTTCGTATATTGTAAAATAATTTATTTCCTGTATCATAATTCGATGAACCATTGTTAAAAATAATGAGGAAGGGTTTAATTCAATTTTCTAAAATTGTATAGAGGTATAGTAGTACTATGGCTTTCTGGAGCCTTCTAGAACTTCCTGGAACTTTCTAAAACTTTATGTAACCTTCCTGAACTTGTTTTTTTTTACTTCTAAGTTTGTATGTTATGCTATGTGTTGCAATGGAATGTCCCACACTCACTATGTAGACTGACTATACCAGTAGCTATATATAGTGGGCACAAAGATATAGCTGAGGGTTGATTCGGCAATTAGTTGGAGAGCTAAGCTGGTCGAACTCTCTGTCTTCGGGCAGAGAGGAACCCAGACGGGGTATGCCGAAGAGCAGAGTCTCGTCTAGGGTGGTAGAGACTTACGCGACCACGTCTTTTACGGGGTCTACGGCGAATTCTTCCCCTGGTCTACGGGATCGGATGCACCATGTTATAGTTAGCCTTGTGCTACATGTGACCGCGTGGGGTGGTTGGCAAATAACGTTGCATCGGCAATTAGTTGGAGATTCGTCTCCAGCTAAGCTGGTCTGAGAGGAACCCAGACGAGGCTATGCCGACGGGCAGAGACTCGACTGCAGAGGTAGACAGCTACCCGACCTCGTTTTTCGAGGTCTACGGCGAACTTTTGCCCGAGCCCGCATTAAAAAACGGCTTTGTGCCACATCCTGCCTCGCGGGGTGGTGAGGTAAATAATCTTGCTAACCGTTGGGCGGTTGACAAATATCCTTGCTTCGGCAATTACTTGGAGATTTGTCTTCAGCTAAGCTAGTCAAACTCTCTGCAGAGTGGAATCCAGACGAGGCTATGCACACTCTCGTCTAGATTGGTCGACAGCTACCCGAAGCCTATTTTTTACCAGTTCTACTGGGAATTTTTGCCCGAGCCTACGTCTCAGTTAACCCACGTTATATTTGGCCTTGTGCTACATCTGACCGCGTGGGGTGGTTGGAAAATATCATTGCTTCGGCAATTCGTTGGAGATTCGTCTCCAGCTAAGCTAGCCTGAAAGGAACTCAGACGAGGCTATGCTGAAGGGCAGTGACTCGAGTGCAGAGATAGACAGCTACCCGACCTCGTTTTATGGGGTCTACTGGGAATTTTTGCTAGAGTCCACGGGTTCGGTTTTAACCCAGCATTAAAAAGCCGCCATGTGCCACATCCTGCCTCGCGGGGAGGTGAAGCAAATAACTTTGCTTCGGCAATTTGTTAGAAATTCGTCTCCAGCTAAGCTGAACAAACTCTCTACCTTCAAGCTGAGAGGAACCCAGACGCGGCTATGCCGAAGGGCAGAGTCACGTCTAGAGTGGTAGACACTTACGCGACCCCGTCTTTTTTCGGGGTCTAGGGCGAATTTTTGCCCAGGCCTACGGGCTCGGATACACCACGTTATAATCGGCATTGTGCCAAATCTGACTCCGTGGGGCGGTTGGCAAATATCCTTGCTTCGGCAAGTAGTTAGAGATTCGTCTCTAGCTGTGCTAGTCGAACACTCTGCATTCAGGTAGAGAGAAGAACCCAGACGAGGCTATGATGAAGGCCAGAGTCTCGTCTGGGGTGGTAGACATCTAACCGACGGGGAATTCTTGCCCGAGCCTACGGGCTCAGTTTTGCCCCGCATTAAAAAACAGCCTTGTGCCACATCCTGCCTCGCGGGGAGGTAAGGTAAATAACCTTTGCTTCGGCAATTATTTGGAGACTCGTCTCCGGCCGTTCTGGTCGAACTCTGCCTTCGGGTAGAGGAACTCAGATGAGGGATAGAGTCTCGTCTCAGGTGGTAGACAGCTACCCAACTCCGTTTATACGTGGTCTACGGTTTTGCCCCGCATTAAAACGGTCTTGTGAAACGTCCTGCCTCGCGGAGAGGTAAGGTAAATATCCTTGCTTCGGCAATTAGTTGGAGATTCGTCACCAGCTGTGCTCGTCGAACTCTCTTCCTTCTGGTGGAGATGATCCCAGACGAGGCTATGCCGAAGGGCAGAGTCTCTTCTGGGTTGGTAGACAGCTACCCGACCCCGTTTTTACTGGCGCTACAGGGAATATTTGCACGAGCCTAGTTGCTCGTTTTTCCACGCATTAAAAAATGGCTTTGTGCCACATCGTACCGCGCGAGGAGGTAAGTTAAATAACCTTGCTTCGGCAATTAGTTGGAGATTCGTCTCCAGCTCTGCTGGTCGAACTCTCTGCTTTCGCGCAGAGAGGAATCCAGAGGTTATGCCGAATGAGCAGAGTCTCGTCTGAGGTGGTAGACAGCTGCCCGACCCCGTGTATTTGGAGTCTACGGAGGATTTTTGCCCGAGCCTACTGGCTCGGTTTTTCCACCGAATTAAAAAAAAAACGGCCTTGTACCACACCCTACCTCGCGGGAAGGTAAGGTAGATATCCTTGCTTCGGTAATTAGTTGCAGATTCGTCTCCAGCTGTGCTGTTCGAACTCTTTGCCTGACAAGGCTATACTGAAGGGCAGAGTCTCGTCTGGGGTGGTAGACAGCAACCCGACCCCGTGTATAATTAGTTGTTAGTTGGAGATTCGTCTCCAGCTGTGCTGTTCGAACTCTCTTTCCTCCGGGCAGAGAGGATCCCCAGAGGAAGCTATGTCGAAGGGCAGACTCGCTTATCGGGAAGCAACTACTCGACCCCGTTTTTATATAGGGAATTTTTTTTTTGTCGAGCCTACGGGTTCGTATACCCCACGTTAAATTCGGCCTTGTGTCACATTTAACCGCGTGGGGAGGTTGGTAAATATCCTTGGTTCTGGAATTACTTCCTACCACCCGAGTCCCTGTCTTTCAGTAGTGTATTCTCTTTTACAATAAACCTTTCTTTCTTTCCTCTACGCGCGTGTTGTTGTTCCTTTCACTCAAGTACCACCTTTGTCTTTAATATCCTCTTTAAGAATACAACACTATAGCTATAAATTGTTAAATATGTTAAAATACGTAATATCCAATTACATCATTAACAAATTGAAAACTAAAGGTTCTTCAAGTTTGCAGTTTTTGTTTCTTTATAAGATTGTATGTTATTCTATGGCTATAAACTGTTAAATGCGTTGAAAATATATAATGCTATCTAATCAGATCATTAGCAAATTGAAAAATAAAGCTTCTAAAATACTTTGATTTTTACCCTTATTGTGCATATGGTAAAATGGTCGAATTTTTGGTTTGGTGTGACCTTTTTAAAAACTAAAACAAATTAATGCATTTTTCATTACTTTTGTAGAAGACTTCATCGATTATTGACACTGGAATATAAGGTTATAAAAAAGCTATAACCCTAATCTTCGATTAGAATCTTGAAAACTTGTATATATATGCAGATCACAAACTTCGTTCAAGAAACCTTCTTTGAAACATATCCCCCAGAAATTTGAATCGAAAAGAGACATGATCGCCCAAGTAGATCAAATCCGCCCCTACCAATATGCATTGGACCAACAAGATTGGATAACGGCCTGTTCTTCCCCATGAATGTCGAGAA